GACGACGATGAGAGATGTTAATTACCTGTCGAAGTCATGGATGATTAGGTAGAGAAACTGAGCGTAATTAGCAAGAAGAAGAACGTTTTCAGGCTCTTGAGATAATCCCGTTTGGTAGAGAAGCTCTGTTTTGAAATGATCCATGGATTCCTCTGCTTCTAACCGAGCTTCCACCGGAGATACAAACTGCTTCATCATCTCGTGATCCAAAGTTTCCATTTGTTCTGTTTCTTCCAAGATCGAATTCCACAGTCTAATCTCTTCTTGACCCGAGACAGATACCTCTGGATCCGCACCTAGAGAAGATGATGAAAACTGAGATGGTATTCTAAACTGATCAGAACCATCACCGTCTGTTCCGCTTTGTACCGGCGGTAAGTTGTTACCACCGCTTCCGCCGCCGACAAAAGATGTTTCCCCGGTCGGAGAAGAAACAGAGAATGTCTTAACCATCGAGGAATCGAAATTCTTGTTTGTATCACTTTGTTCCGTCGTCTCGAAGACGTAAGACACGGTGGTTGTTGTCGGAGGCGGTGCTGCGGCGGCTATAGCAGAGTTGTTTCCAATAGAGTAAACCGTGAAGTTTGCGAGAAGGATCATAACAGAGACCATTAACGTAGGAGTCGCAGAGAAAACTTGTTGAAACAACCAAACAAACGAAGCTTGCATTTCTTTTCTTACACGAAGTAGAATCCCTTGCAAATCTTCAAAGAGAAGAAGCTCTCTCATGTGTAGTGTGAAACTCTGAAGCTCACGAATCATAAACACCATCGAAGAGAAAGCTTTCTTAACAGAGCAAGAAACTGTTTCACCGACTTGGTTAACTCCTTCTTCCATTTGTAACTTTCTCTTTATGATCCTAAGCGACAATGGAAGATCGACACTGTTTGCTTTCCTCTCGATGCTTGACATTTGTACCATCTCTGGCCATGGTGGTTCCATTGAATCAACACTGAAACTATGACTTGTTGTCATCGATCGAGCGTCAATGGAGCTAGTCTCTGTTTCGTTGTCGACTTGGAATTTGAGAGTAAGCTCTTGCATCTTCTTAGAAAACTCTTCCTCTGAAAACGGATCTACGTTTGCGCTACTAAAAGCTCTTCGAATCAACTGAGTTTTGGTTCGTCTTGATGATTCCCAGAGCTCACAGGAGGACTTGGAGTATCGGAGATTCGTGGGAGAAGTTCCAAACGGAGAAGAAGAAGAAGGGTTATGCACGACGGAGCGGCAAGTCATAGAACGTCCTTCGTTTCCGATGGTCCGTCGTCTGGAAGGAGATGAAACGGCGGAGGAGGAAGCAAGGGTTTGAGAAAAGGAAGATGAATGATGAACTATGGGATGAGTCACCCATTGATGAAAGGTGGAGGTTGTTGCTACTTTCACACCCATTTTGAACAAAATATCTCGAAAGTATTGACCTTTTCTGATTTTATTGTTCAGCCAAAAACAGAGCAAAAGCTAAAGGAGGCTACTTTCGTCTTCCTCACGTTTTCCTGCAAATCAGAAAAATGACTCCAGCGAGTCAAAACAGAGACTCAAAAGGGTTTCAAGATCACTTGTAGGAAAAGTTCTTTGATTTATACACTCTCATGTGACTGAATCATTACAATCCCCACGGAAAACGGATCGGAGAAGAAAACTGAATCGGCACGAGAGTCAATGAAACTTCGATATCATAAATTAGAGAGAGAGAGAAGGAAGAAGAAACTCACTTATAATGATAAATGAGCGACGGGTTTTGTCCGGAAAGTTTCTCGGATTTTCTCGAAGGGAAAAAGAAAAACTTTCTCGGGATAATCCTGAAGTGGAGCACGAGGCAGACGATACACTTAAATACAAGCACATTGAAGAATTATCAAAGACGGAAATAACTAAGTGAGGAAAATATATATGTAAAAAAAAAAAAATCTCGCAGGTGAAGAGTTAACGTAGAATAGTCAATAGATATACCGGACAATCCGGTACAGGTCAAAGAATCTAGTGACGTGGCACCCGTTACAGAGAAATAAGTGAGAGGAAACCGGGAGGTTTTTGTTTTTCTTGTTAGATCCAACGGTTGTAAATTCACCACTTGATCGTACGGATCTGCTCTTCTTCTGACAAATTGAAAAGTGGAAAGTAAATTTACAATAGACGACATATAAAGTTACACGTGTAATTACGGTGACATATTATTAAAATTAATAATTTAGAAGTAGTGTGAAAAAAATAACAGCCTGGCAATAAGGTAGGCGAAATAAGTGGGGTCCTCGTGTCCATGTCATCTAGAAATGACTTTGA